ACGTCATACTCATTGAAAGTTTGAGAATAGGTTGAAGACGTTTCGTCCCACAATTCCTCTAATCATTCGCTTTACCGAATATAACTGCTTTATTTAACGTACTCCAGCTATCCTGAGGGAAACTTCAGAGGGAACCAGCTACTAGATAGTTCGATTAGTCTTTCGCCCCTATACCAAAGTCAGACGATCGATTTGCACGTCAGAATCGCTTCGGACTTTCACCAGAGTTTCCTCTGGCTTCATCCTGCTCAGGTATAGTTCACCATCTTTCGGGTCCCAGCATATACGCTCTACCTCCGCCCTATTGCATGCAACATGAACGGGGTTATGTTACGCTATATACATACATATATATATATATATATATATAGATCACATATCAATTATACCAAAGATAATCTTTACTTTCATTATGCTTTTTATCTTTTAAATTAGGTTTACTACCCAATAACTTGCGTATATGCTAGACTCCTTGGTCCGTGTTTCAAGACGGGTCAGATAGGTGATTAACGTTCACATCGAGATGTAACTTTATTGCATACAATATTATAATATTACCAATTATTTTTACCGATAAAGTCGCATGCGACCACATGTAAAATAATAATAAGCAAAATTATAATCGATACATGTCACTATTATTTCAAGTGAAAGTTACATATATGGGAAAAAAAAAAAAAAACTTCATCTAAGACATATTTCAACATAATTTAGGATTCCAATTATCAATTGAAATAATTGGTCCACTAAATTAACTTGTATTAATATGCTAAAATGAAGTTCTCGATGCATACCATCGGTAAATACACCAATCTATGCATATACTGCTAATTTAGCATTAATATCATTTTATTCATTAATAAAAAAAAAAAAATTATTAATGAATAATGAAATGAATTATGATTGCTAAATTGATTGGTTGAATACCGATAAGTTTTGTTAACTCTATCCGTTTCCATCTCAGCGGTTTCACGCCCTCTTGAACTCTCTCTTCAAAGTTCTTTGCAACTTTCCCTCACGGTACTTGTTTGCTATCGGTCTCATGGTCGTATTTAGCCTTAGATGAGGTTTACCACCCTCTTTGGGCTGCAATCTCAAACAACCCGACTCCAAGGAATAACCTACCGTAACTTTTTTCACCCGTACAGGTCTAGCACCTTCTATGGACTGTAGCCCCGCTCAAGGGGACTTTGGGTGTAAAAATATGTTACGGATAGTTATACCTATACGCTACATTTCCATATAGCCATATAATGTCTATTGGATTCAGCGTTGGGCTTTTTCCTTTTCACTCGCCGTTACTAGGGAAATCCTCGTTAGTTTCTTTTCCTCCGCTTAGTTATATGCTTAAATTCAGCGGGTAATCACGACTGAGTTGAGGTCAAAAAAAAAAAAAATGATATAAAACATATTGAAATTATCATTCATATATATATGCTAATTTTTTACCTTATTTATTTGTTTATTTTAATGTTTCAAATAACTTGCATTTTAATTTGAAACATTTAACAACAAAACAAACAAACAATAAAGTAAATCAATGCATAATAAATAAATAATTGTAATCTTTCTTTATTATTTATTCATGAAAGATTACTTTTTAATATATATATATATATATATACATATACATATATATTCAATATGTTAAATAAGGTAAAAATATTACTCATATCTATTATTACTTATCAGGGGATTTATTTTGAGATTTTTTCATTCTCACTCTCTCTGTTACTAAATCACCTGATGCATTTTGTATCTAATCATTGATTCAATCATCTTTTTTCATTCATTATCATCAAATAATCTTTTTAACAAACAAACAAAAATTATTTGATAATAATAAATATAAATCAATGCAAATACAATTATTACTTTTAATTGACCCTCAACCAGACGTACCATCGGGAATCAACCCAATGGTGCAATGTGCATTCGAAATCTTTGTGCTCAATGCGTCTGCAATTCGCACTATTTATCGCAGCTAGCTGCGTTCTTCATCGATCCATGAGCCAAGTGATCCACCGCTAAGAGTTAAAAAAAAATTTTTATTATTATTACTATAATATATATATAATTTTTTTGTATGTCTTTTTTTTTTTTTTTTTGTTGGTAGCATATCTAGCATAAATGCTTATTAAGTCTACTTAATTAAATGGTAAAATTAATTAAGCTATCGCTTTATCTTCATTGTTATCGACGGTTAGGCGATAACTTGGATAAAGTATAGACACCAACGAATATCACCGTTTATTCATATTATTATTATTATTATTATTTATGCTACTACCATATTAAAATTATTAACATCAATCTATTAATAACACATACAACAATATGTTGTTAATATAGTATCATAATATATATATATGGTAGCTATAATAATAATAAATTCAATCATTGTTGTGTTATTTTTTTTTGAAGCACGATAATGATCCTTCCGCAGGTTCACCTACGGAAACCTTGTTACGACTTTTGCCCGGTTCAAGCCACTGCGATTAAAGCAGTTTCCACCAAAGAATCTCTACCCTTGAAAGGTATTGAAACAGCAGTCTCCGCTTTTCTCGAAACGGCTCAGTCCCGGGCAGCGACGGGCGGTGTGTACAAAGGGCAGGGACGTAATCAACGTGAGCTGATGACTCACACTTACTAGGAATTCCTCGTTCAAGGGAAATAATTGCAATTCCCGATCCCGATCACGGAGGATTTTCAAGGGGTTACCAATATCTTTCGATAATGGTTACAGCACGCTGATTCCTCCAGTGTAGCGCGCGTGCAGCCCTGGACATCTAAGGGCATCACAGACCTGTTATTGCTCAACTTCATGCGGCTAAACACCGCTTGTCCCTCTAAGAAGTTGTCTGGACGATAAAATTATCCAGTAACTATTTAGTAGGCTAGAGTCTCGCTCGTTATCGGAATAAACCAGACAAATCACTCCACCAACTAAGAACGGCCATGCACCACCAACCACCGAATCATGAAAGAGCTCTCAATCTGTCAATCCTCACGGTGTCCGGGCCAGGTGAGTTTTCCCGTGTTGAGTCAAATTAAGCCGCAGGCTCCACTCCTGGTGGTGCCCTTCCGTCAATTTCTTTAAGTTTCAGCTTTGCAACCATACTTCCCCCGGAACCGAAAAACTTTCGTTTCCGGGAAGCTGCCCGTCAAGGCGTATTTACCGCCGACGGAACGCTAGTTGGTATCGTTTACGGTCAGAACTAGGGCGGTATCTGATCGCCTTCGAACCTCTGACTTTCGTTCTTGATTAATGAAGACATTCTTGGCAAATGCTTTCGCAGTCGTACGTCTCGCTACGGTCCAAGAATTTCACCTCTCACGCAGCGATACGAATGCCCCCGTCCGTCCCTCTTAACCATTATCTCAGATCAGAAAACCAACAAAATAGAACCGAGATCCTATTTCATTATTCCATGCACGAGTATTCAGGCATTAGCCCGCATTGAGCACTCTAATTTTTTCAAGGTAAACTTGCTAGCCACCATATGCAACCAATTAAGGTAACGTATGGGAAAACTGGCAATATTAGCCTAGGAGCCTAGTTCTCATCCAATGGATGGACCAGGTCCTGAGACGCAGATCCAACTACGAGCTTTTTAACCGCAGCAATGACGATATACACTTTGAGAGCTGGAATTACCGCGGCTGCTGGCACCAGACTTGCCCTCTCATAGATCCTCGTTAACAGGTTTAAATTGTACCCATTCCGATAACCGGCCTCAAAGAGAACGGTCTCGTTATTTTTCGTCACTACCTCCTCATTCTGAGAGTGGGTAATTTGCGCGCCTGCTGCCTTCCTTGGATGTGGTAGCCGTTTCTCAGGCTCCCTCTCCGGAGTCGAACCCTTATTCTCCGTTACCCGTTACAACCATGGTAGGCACATAAACTACCATCGAAAGTTGATAAGGCAGACACTTGATAGATACGTCGCCGGTACAAGACCATGCGATCAGCCATAGCTATTCAGAGTCACCAATTAACGGATTAAAATTAATAATCCGATTGGTTTTAATCTAATAGATGCGCTCGTTTAAAATTCGGAGCTTTGGTGCATGTATTAGCTCTAGAATTGCCACAGTTATCCACGTTGGATAATCAACATCAAGTACATTATAGCTGTTATAATGAGCCGTTCGCGGTTTCACCATTATAGGTTTATTTGAACTTAGACATGCATGGCTTAGCCTTTGAGACAAGCATATAACCGCCGACAGAATCAATCGGGGAGATGTATGAAAAGAATAAGAAAACACATACAAACATTATGCATTATATCTTAAATATATCATGCATAAAAATTGTTGTACTATGTTTTCTTTCATTCATTCATCTATATTTCAAAATTTCATTCATACATGATTTTCTTCGCTTATTAGCAAAATTTAAATTTCCATTTTACAATACAATAAAATTCCAATAACATACTTCCAATAGTACAACGGAGCATTTCACATACATTATGATTGCACTATCATTATATACATATATATCCAAGGTATACATACAACAACAAATTCGTTGTTTTAAATGTAACCATGATTGATGTTACTATTTCATTGCTCGTCTGTTGAAACTTTTGTTTCACGAGACAATTCATTACTCAAGTTAGACGACCATTGTCATCTAACAATAATACCAAATCTGCTCTCTATAAATATAACAGAAAAAAAAATTTTTTAAATTAATAATTTATAGTATATAAAAATAATCAAAAACATTACAAAAATACTTTTAGAATATATTTCTTTGTTCTACTACTACTAATTGTTTGGATATATATATATATATATAGATAGATAATATACAAAAATACTTTTAGAATATATTTCTTTGTTCTACTACTACTAATTGTTTGGATATATATATATATATATAGATAGATAATATACAAAAATACTTTTAGAATATATTTCTTTGTTCTACTACTATAGAATATATTTCTTTGTTCTACTACTACTAATTGTTTGGATATATATATATAT